CTAAATAATTGCTCACTGGCGATGCTGCGTATACAGCAAAGCTAAATTGGCACTGAAATATGGGCAGACCCATTAAAGAGCCGCATTTACGTTAAGCGATTAGGTAATTTAGTACAACCCTAGCACGAAATTACGACGTAAACGAACTTTGAATCCAAAATACTCATTAGTCTTTAAGAAGAATTAATATAAACTACAAGTAAAAAAAATACGTGTGGCACTCGGTGACTGCCGCGGTAAAACTATTGCATAGCATTTTTTATCAACTTATGCAATTATAATTATTTATTTATTTTATTTATGCAGTTAAGTCTTTGATATTAAATCAAGTTACACTTTTTGAGCGTGGTGACCGATAAGAAAACAATTTTTTTTCTCTTATTGAATAAATGAGAAGTTAATATTGTTTAAAATATTTTTAATATCTTACAATACATGTAGGTTATTTAGGAATTTTTATCATTGAGTTAGCAGCTAGTGTACACGCATACGTCTAGTCGCACGCACACAAACACCGTGCCGAAGTCTGCCGAGTGCCGAAGTCTGCCGAACTAAAACGACGTTAGACGATGCATGGCTTTCAACGCCACACCTCCGTGCCCGTTGGAGTGGGGAGCGTGAGGTTTTTTTTCGTTACGGAATTTCTGGATTCGGTCCCCGCGCTCAAGGCCCGCGATAGAAGCTATGCAATAGCTTAATAATTAATATAAACTTTACGTTAACATAACTGCTCCCTAATTAATTTTACAAATCTTCGTTGTAACAAAGGCACTCATGTCACGCCGTATAATAAAGTTAAAAAAGTATGTAAACAAACCCGTTGGTACCAGTGCCGAAAGCACGCGCCCAGCTCACTTGGCTGAAACAGTGGTGGACCGCCAAGCATCCAGATGGTATGGATGGTAGCGGGACGTTTGCCGCGTAGTGCGTTCACGAAATTTGGCGGCTGGGATTAATCCGAACAATTCCTCAGAGCACTCCCCATGGTATATGCGAAAGAAAATGCAAAGAGATGCAACATTTCTTCGCAGCGCCAGCGAATCGAGCCGATCGGAAAGCACTCGGTCGTCGACGATTCGAGCCACTTCGCGCTGGATGCGGCCAAGTGGAAGGAGCTGGTACTGGGGAGCTCCAGCCCAGAAATAGGAACAGTATTCCATGTGTGGCCGAACCTGCGCCTTTTAAAGTTGCAGGCGGTGTGCCGGCAGAAATACTGTCCCGCTCTGCTGAGCACGCCAAGCTTTTTAGAGGCCAATTTGGTCTTCTCTTCCGACGCCGAGGATTCCGATACTGGCTGAGGCTACAAGGGGAGTGCTTTGAAACTGAGGAGATACGACAAAGGGGTTTTTTTTAGCGGTTAACGCGCAAACTTGTGTCTTATGGGATTAAACTGGACTAGATTTAGTCGCCCCCCAATCCGAGACTCTGTTCAGCAAAGACTCGACTTCATCATCATCATCATCATTACAGCCCTTCACAAGTCCACTGCTGAACATAGGCCTCCCCCAAGTAACGCCACAAAGTACGGTCCTGAGCCAGCTGCATCCATCGACTTCCTGCAAGTCTTACCAGGTCGTCACTCCATCTAGTGGGGGGTCGCCCTACACTACGCCTACCGGTACGAGGCTGCCACTCGAGAACCTTTCTTCCCCATCGGTTATCGGTTCTTCGAGCTATATGGCCGGCCCATTGCCACTTCAGCTTATTAATCCGTTGGGCTATGTCGGTCACTCTGGTTTTACTGCGGGTATCCTCATTTCTGAGTCATCACGCAGAGAAACTCCAAGCATAGCCCTCTCCATAGCTCGCTGAGCGACCTTGTGCGTCCTCATACGGCCAGCAGTGAAGGACCACGTCTCTGATCCGAAAGTCATCACTGGCAACACGCTCTGGTTGTACACTTTAGTTTTCAGAGATTGAGGTATACCTGACGAGAAGATGTGTCGTAATTTCCCGAACGCTGCCCAGCCGAGTTGAATCCGTCGATTGACCTCTCGGTCGAAGTTGGACTTACCTAGTCGGACTATTTGTCCCAGGTAAACGTACTCGTCAACAACTTCGAGCATAGTGCTCCCCACAACTACCGGCATAGGTGTGACGTGGACATTGAACATAATATTTGTTTTGTCCATGTTCATCTTAAGACCTATCCGTTGGGAGACACCATTGAGGTCAATGAGCATAGTGCTCAGGTCCTCCAGCGATTCTGCCATAAGGACTATATCGTCGGCAAATCGAAGGTGAGTGATGTACTCGCCATTGATGTTAATACCGTATCCTTTCCAGTCCAGTAGCTTGAAAACGTCTTCCAACGCAGCGGTGAAGAGTTTCGGGGATATAACGTCACCCTGTCTTACACCTCTCTGCAGTTGGATAGGTTTCGAACTCTGGTTCTGTACTCGGATAGCCATCGTAGCCCTACTGTACAAACACTTCAGCATCTCGATATACCGACAGTCAACTTGGCACCGCTGAAGGGACTGTAGCACCGCCCAAATTTCGCCGGAATCAAAGGCTTTCTCATAGTCCACATACGCCAGGCAAAGTGGCAGATTGTACTCCTCGGTCTTCTGTACAATCTGCCGCAGGGTATGTATGTGGTCTATGGTACTGAAGCCTTTTCGGAAACCGGTTTGTTCGGGAGTTCGGTAATGACTCTCGAAAACAGCACGTAGACGCGGCTCAGTAGGGAAATCGGTCTGTAGTTCTTCAAGAGGGCGTTGTCGCCCTTCTTAAAGAACAAGACCACCGCACTTCTGCTCCACGCCTCCGGAGTAGTGCCACCATGGAGGACGGAATTGAAGAGCCTCTGAAGGACCTCAAGTACCGGTGTTTCAGCCGCTTTCAGAAGCTCCGCTGTAATTCCATCCTCGCCTGGGGCCCTGCCGTTTTTAAGGTGCTGGAGAGCCATTCTAATCTCGCTCAGACCGACGTCCGGGATATCATCGGAATAGTGTCTGGTAAGACTTGCTCTTGTATCGTTACCTTTCTGTTTCCCTCTGTCTCCTCTTACGACACCCACGGGAAGATATGGGGTAGTGGATATTCTCAAACGCCACTACATGGCACGACTCGACTTCAGACACAAGTTTGTCCCGGTACTCTGAGACGTTTTGTAGAGGACCATTTGGTAGAGAACGAAAAATCTATACATATAATAAATCTGTAGAAAAGTCGTGTCTGTAATTCTATTATTTTTTGAAAAAAACAAGTCCAGGGGACTAAACAAGCGGTACTGAAACCAAATTAGTAGTTTTTAGAATTTTTTGTCTGTCTGTCTGTCTGTCTGTCTGTGTATTACGGATTCACTCATAAACTACAAGACGGATTTACATGAAATTTTGTAAGTGGGTAGTTAAGAACCCGGGGCAACTTATAGGCTACTTTTTATCCGATTACGGAGCATCAAAAAAAGAAGGTTATGTTTTTTTACCTTTCTTTGGAGTTAATTTTATAATTTTATAATAAGTGCATAAAATGTCATTAGTCTTAAGGTAGATTACATAAAGTTCTTAATTTGTAATGTATATTTATAACTGAAGCTTAATATACTATGTTAACCGTTGAAACTTAGTTTAAAACTTCACCGACTACGTTGTATGTTTATAAGACAGTGCCATCTATTATTAAAATGCAAAAAGTGTTACGTTTTCCCTTCAGGCACTAATAAATTATTTATTAAATGTATATTTATAACTGAAGCTTAATATACTATGTTAACCGTTGAAACTTAGTTTAAAACTTCACCGACTACGTTGTATGTTTATAAGACAGTGCCATCTATTATTAAAATGCAAAAAGTGTTACGTTTTCCCTTCAGGCACTAATAAATTATTTATTATACATATTAAAGTTTTATTAAAAAATATAAACATTTATAGAAGCTTTTTATATGTATGTATTGCTTTTAAATTTTGTCTATCGTTATGAAAATCAAGTTTAATTTAAATACATAATAGCGCCATTTAAGAAAAAGTAAGTTACAATGACGGCATCCACACCTTTTTCTGCCACCAGTGTGGCGCCACTTGTGAAGGTGAAGTGAGGTATAATATTTGACAGATATCAGGGCGGGGAAGTTAATTTGTTCGAAAAATGTAAAGGTTAATGTTTCTTTCTGTACTGTTGCTATATTTTATATTTTTAAAATTAAAAATACATAATATTCATGAAAGTAGAAAAATTTTAAAAAGTTAAAAATGTGCAAAAAATTAAACAGCAAACCACTGACTCATTGTTTTGTGTATTAGTATAATACTCTAGAAACTGATAAACTTTTATTAAAAACTTACTTCTCCATTAAATGACATTGTGTAACAAAAAACTTTATCTCAGTGTCAACTAGCGACATCTGGTGAGCAGAAAATTATTAGCCCTCATTAAACAGTATGGTTCTCTAACTACGTCACTTCACGGCGACTATTTAAATTGTATATATTATTTAAATTGTATATATTATTTGTATAAATACATAATAAACAATTATAATTTTTAGTTAGGTCCTTTTCTATCCTATAATAGGAATATAACTATTTTTTTTTATGAAATATATATTGGTACAATGATAATTGTTTTATTTCACTATTTTCCGTTACGTTCCGTTAGATGTCATTGCTGAACATCTACCTCGCGTAGGTAAGATTTTTCGTGAGTTTTCTTAATGACACATTATTTTATATCTACTCAATATGATAATTTGTAAAAGTTGTTATATTTGTGATAATACTATAATACTGTGTGCTAAGTTTTCTATTCTTTTACCTTTCATGACATCATATTACGGATTTACGGATTTCTGATATTTTGTCTTACGATACGGAATTAGTTGTTTGGATTTTTTAGACTGTAAAAATATATTAAATTTAAATTAAATTAAATTGAATTAAATAATATTATTATTGTAGTCTAAGGTTAAGTGATCACTAAATTGTTACATACGTGATTACATTTTCGGATAAGGATTTTATTTTGTGTTTTGGTTGTTGAATAAATTTTAAATAATGCCGCAAAAAAAGAAAAGTAGTCTTTCTCAATACACTAGAAGGGCTAAAAGGATGAGACAAGTTCGATCGCAAGAGACAAATGAGGACCGTGAGCACCGTTTAGCTTACAATAGAGAACAAACTGCGGAATCTCGGGCATCAGAGTCCAGTTTTAATAATGAAACGCGCTTAGCTACAGATCGCGAACGTCACGCGTTGTCTCGCGCTTCGGAAACATTAACAAATTACTCTCAGCGTTTAAAAGTAGACCGTGAACGTCATATCGAGTCTCGAGCTTTAGAGACGTTTACGGAGCATTCAGAAAGGTTGACTGCAGACCGTGAACGTCATGCTGAAAGTCGCGCTTCAGAAACGTTTACGCAATATTCAGACCGCTTGACAGCAGACCGTGATCGTCATGCTGAGTTTCGCGCTTCGGAAACATTTACGGAGTGTTCAGAACGGTTGACTGCAGACCGTGAACGTCATGCTGAGTCTCGCGCTTCAGAAACGTTTACTCAATATTCGGAACGCTTGACTGCAGACCGTGAGCGTCATGCTGAGTCTCGCGCTTCAGAAACGTTTACTCAATATTCGGAACGCTTGACTGCAGATCGTGAGCGTCATGTCGAGTCTCGCGCTTCGGAAACATTTACGGAGTGTTCAGAACGGTTGACTGCAGACCGTGAAAGTCATGCTGAGTCTCGCGCTTCAGAAACGCTAACTCAATATTCGGAACGCTTGACTGCAGACCGGGAACGTCATGCAAGATCACGTGCTTCGGAATCATTTACTCAATATGAAGCGAGGTTAGCAGCAGATAGGGAGAGCCGTTCGGTAAGTAGGACACATGAAACCCAGCAGGAGCATGACTTACGCTTAGAATTGGCAAGGGGATATTATGAAAATTCGCTTCAACACCGTAACGAACTTTTGTCTTTACAAAGGGAAAGAGTGCAAGCAATTAGGAGTAACGAGACAGAGAGTGAACGTGCAATTCGGTTACAAGCTGATCGTATTCGTACTTTTATAAATCGTTCACCCACCTTTACTCCGCCATCTATGGACAGAGAGAACTACACTGATCTCCCTTGGGTTGATAAAGAAAATAGTGGATTTACCTACACTTTTAATATTGACTATAGTGAATTTGCCGAGATCGGAAGAATGATTCGCACTTGTAGTCATTGTCAATCACTTAAGTGGTCTAAAGAATCAAACGGGTTTTGCTGTTCAGCTGGCAAGGTACAATTGGAAATATTTCAAGAGCCCCCAGAACCTCTTAAATCGCTACTTAATGGGGACCATCCACATTCCAAGCAGTTTTTAGACAATATCCGTTCATACAATGGGGCATTCCAGATGACTTCTTTCGGGGCCAAGCAAGTGGTACATGGAACATTTATGCCTACTTTTAAAGTGCAGGGGCGAGTCTACCACTTAATTGGTTCGCTTTTGCCTGAGACAGAACCAAAGTTTTTACAAATATATTTCGTTTCTGATTACCATGAACAAGCCAATATAAGGAGGCAGAATTTCCCAAATTTAAACGCTAATGTTATCTCAGAGCTTCAGGGCATGCTTCATCAGGTCAACCCTTATGTATCCAATTTCAAAGCTGTACTAGAGTCGATCCCTCAAGATGAATACAATAATTATAAGTTTGTTATTAGCGCGGATAAGCGACCTTTAGTGCAACATTCCGGCCGTTATAATTCTCCATCCACCAATGAAGTGGCAGTTGTCCTGGTGGATCAGCAATGCGACAAGCGCGACATTATAGTACGCACGCGTGATGACCGCCTGCAACGAATTAGTGAGACTCATCGTTCTTACGACTCCTTACAATACCCACTTATTTACTGTCGCGGTGAAGATGGTTACAACTTTACGGTTTATCAAGTTGACCCCGCTACAGGAGCACCTCGGTTAGACAGAAAAGTTTCGGCTCTGCAATTTTATTGTTATCTCATGCAAATAAGACAACGTCGTTTTGTATATTTACAACGATTTCGTGGCTTATTTAACCAGTTTATTGTTGATATGTACGCAAAAGTTGAAACAGAGCGTTTAGTATTCATTCGTACTCATCAGAGACAGTTGCGTGCCGAAAATTATGTGGATCTTCATGATGCAGTACAGGGAGATACACACATAGAAAATTTAGGACGTTTAGTTATATTGCCTTCCAGCTTTATCGGGAGTCCCCGAAATATGAATGAACGCGTTCAAGACTCATTCTGTTATGTTCGCAAGTATGGTAGGCCAGATCTTTTCATAACAATAACTACTAACCCTAAATGGATCGAGATTTCTCAAGAGCTGCTAGAAGGTCAAGCATCGTACGATCGACACGATTTAATTAGTCGAGTTTTTTATTTAAAGTTAAAGTTGTCAATCAACTTATTAACCAAGCAAAACGTTTTTGGCGCTACGTCATGCTATACATACAACGTGGAATGGCAAAAAAAGAGGGCTGCCCCACGCTCACATTCTTCTATGGTTATTACAAAAAATTTGTCCTAATGACGTTGATAATATAATAAGTGCAGAATTACCAAATCCCACAAATGATCCTATTTTACACCAAATTGTTAAAACACAGATGATACACGGGCCTTGCGGTGCATTAAATAATAATTCTCCGTGCATGAAGGATGGACAATGTACGAAAAAATATCCAAGACCCCTTTTAAGAGAAACAATCACTGGTGAAGATGGTTATCCCAAATATCGGCGGCGTGCTCCACAGTATGGAGGATTCACCACAAAATTGAGAATGTTTGGACAAGATGTAGAAGTAGATAACAGGTGGGTAGTGCCGTACTCACCTGTGCTATCGAGAACTTTCCAAACCGATATAAACGTAGAAATGTGCAACAGTGTTGAATCAATTAAATACATTTTTAAGTATGTAAATAAAGGGACGGATCAAGCAACACTTGCAATGAGCAACGATAGATTTGACGAAATTACAAGATTTCAATCAGGGCGATACATAAGTTCTTCGGAGGCAGCATGGCGAATATTCAGTTTCCCAATAAGCGAGCGTAATCCCCCGGTAATGCATTTAGACGTTCACGTGGAAGGCGGACAACGCGTATATTTTCACCCAGACAATATTGTGGAGCAACTAGAAAATCCTAGACAAACAACTTTACTGGCGTTCTTTCGATTATGCGAATCTGACGATTTCGCAAGAACTTTGCTTTATGACGAAGTTCCAGCGTATTATACATACGATAAGCAACACAGGATTTTTAATCGTCGCCGACGTGGTATTCCTGTTGAAGGTTTTCCCAACCTTTTTAAAGAACATGTGCTCGGCAGAGTGTACACTGTACATCCCAATAACTCCGAATGTTTTTACGTACGTTTACTTTTGCATACAGTACGAGGACCCACATCATTTTTGGCTTTGAAAATGTTCAACAACACTGAATATCCTTCTTTTCAAGCTGCTTGCCGGGCTCGAGGGTTATTGGACGACTACCAGCACTGGGACAACACCCTCGCTGAAGCATCTGTTAGTGATAGCCCGCGTCGTTTACGGAATTTATTTGCGGTGTTGTTAGTATTTTGTGGCCTTTCAGATGCTAATCAACTTTGGGTTAAACACCAGAAAAGTTTAGCTGAAGATTACATTAATTTTGAACATGGTGAACTAAATCAAGAGATGCTCAATGATGTATTGAATCGTTGTTTGTGTGATATACAAAACACAGTTTTTTCAATTGGTGGTAATCCCTTAATACGCTATGGATTACCTGAACCAATCTTAAATGTCGAACAAACTAATCGAGAGTATGCAACGGAATCCAATTACGACTCAGAGGAACTGGCCCAAATTCTTCAAGTAGGTGTACCTATCATGACCCCCGAACAAAGAATTATTTTTGATCGTATATGTAACAGCGCTTTGAACACCTCTGGTGAAATGTTTTTTTTGGATGCCCCTGGCGGTACTGGTAAAACATTTCTTACGAAACTTATCCTTGCGCAAATACGTAGCCAGGGAAAAATTGCATTGGCCGTGGCATCGTCCGGAATTGCAGCTACCTTACTTCCAGGAGGCAAAACTGCACATTCCATGTTCAAAATACCCACACAATTAGACGTCACTGAAACCCCCGTTTGCGACATTTCACGTAATAGTGACATAGCTCGAGTACTTCGTGAGTGCACCTTAATTGTATGGGATGAATGTACAATGGCGCATCGCAAAGCAGTAGAAGCCGTCAATAGAACGCTGCAAGATATAACGACACAACAATGAACTTATGGGCGGAGTCACTATGCTCTTCTGTGGAGATTTTCGGCAGACATTGCCAATAGTTACACGCGGGACAAGAGCCGATGAAATTAGCGCATGTTTAAAAAATTCAATTCTTTGGCCCCATATTACAAGGTTAAATCTCACCACAAACATGCGAGCGCAAAGAGGCGAGAACACAAATGCTCAAGATTTCTCACAGTTATTATTGAGTATTGGTGAAGGTAGGTTTCCTGAGGTTGATGGTAGAATAGATTTAATTAATAATTTGTGCAAAACAGTCCTTAACATTGAGGAACTTATTATATCTGTTTATGAAGATCTGGCTGGTATAGTAAACCAAGGAAACTCTTGGCTTTGTGAGCGCGCTATACTTACGCCTCGTAATGATCAAGCTGTAAGTATCAACATGACCATTTTAGAACGTATTGAAGGGGAGAATGTTACCTATACGTCAATAAATAGAGTAGTTGACCGTGAAGAAGTAACAGCATATCCTGTAGAGTTTTTGAATGCATTAACGGCGTCTGGGCTCCCTGCACATGAAATTAAACTTAAGGTAGGGATCCCCATAATTTTTTTAAGAAATTTAAGTCCACCAAAATTATGCAATGGTACTCGGCTCAAAGTAGTTGCTCTCCAGAGACATGTGGTTGAGGCAGAGATACTTACCGGTTGCGGTGCGGGTGAGAAAGTTTTTATTCCACGAATACCGATTATTCCGAATAACTTTCCGTTTCGTTTTAAACGGGTCCAACTGCCGGTGAGTGTTTGCTTTGCAATGACGATAAATAAGGCACAGGGTCAAACGCTAAGCAGAGTAGGCGTTGACCTTACGAACAGCTGCTTTTCACATGGGCAGCTCTATGTGGCAATGTCGCGTATCAGCGATCCCACTAATTTGTTTATTTTAGCACCACAAAACAAAACGGTGAACGTTGTTTATGAAGAGGTCCTTTGTTAACTGAATATATTTTTTTACATTTTCTTTTACTTTTGAAGTTCTAACAAAACCGTGATTAAATAAATAAAACCATTAAATTAAATTGCATATTTATATCCCCTTTTTTGACTCCTTGTTTTGTATTTATTAAGATTTTATTATTCGAAAACCAGAAATGGATTAGGTGGTAGATAGCTGGCATTAGGTTTTCTTAAAATGTGGATATTATCATAAAATGGCTAATCCTTGCCATCAAGTCATCCAAAATTAAAAGTAAAAAATTTGATCTATTTTAGCCTTTTTCACGAAGCTAACGTTCAGGTAGGTATAAAATAATCTGCTTGATTATAATAAACATATAATTATATATACTCTGTTTGAAAATATAAAAGAATTGGAGAAAAAGATTACATGCGAACGAAGTCGCGGGCACAGCTAGTGTTTATATAATTCTTGCACAATATTAAAAAATCCAGTTGTATGAAGATTGGCAGCGTCGTTTACTATTAAAATTAAACTATGGCTAGCGCACGGTACATAGAAAGCGCGGGAATTTAGATACAGCAATCTTTTTTGAAGACCATTATTCTTACCGCGCATATTTGATCCATTATCATAGCC